TTAACTTCTCTGAAAGCGTCACAGAATTGTAGTAGTTATCCATAAATAAGTTATGCCCTTTTAGCACATATGGACGCATCAAACGAAGGACCAACTTATCTGTTTTTCTCTCAGTTGAATCTGCATCTTCCGCTCCAGTATACATTTTAATATTCAATACATACCCATCAGATGTCGTTAAAACGTAAAACTTAATACCATATCTCGCTTTTTTTGACTTTATGTATTGTCGAAACACCAAACGTCCTCGATACAGCAATAGTGATTCGTCAAGAGACAAATCTTGCCCAGGGTTAAATTTGTTTCGAAAATTTTGTGTCAGGGTATTGATGAATCCTTCAATTTTCGCACTTTTAGCTGCGCCCAAATCAGCTGCATATAAACATCGTAAAAGTTGTTCGTATCTTCGACAGGACATTGTGTAATTAAATACGGGATGAAAGTACAGCGGATCATCGTAAGTAAAAAGTTTTCTCTGGTTTGGGACATGAATATGACCATTTAATAATGTGAGCCCTAGGAACTTTCTCATTTCTTCAACATTTGTTGGATGGAATACGGAGTTTCGCGCATGACGTGTATGCGGCCGGTTAGTATTTGTAAGAGCTTCTCCGTAAGTATTTGTCCTTTCAACTAAATATTCTAACATATCTGGTGTAAACATTTGATTAAATACTTCTTCACAAGTGGTATTTTCATTTACTTCGAAAGTTGGACCTTTCTCAGCAGACCTGAACTCAAATGAAGGAACATCTACTACGTTATTCTCCCAAATCCTTTCAGTTGGTGGAGGAGTACCTCCGCGCACACGATTTGCCATATGCCTGTGTCCTCTATGATTTTCTTCTTGACCTGTACTAACCTCTATCTCACGCTCTGCCACTTCAGCTGGTGCCTGTGGTTGCAGGAAAGGAATATCTTCAACATCTTGATTTCTCCCATCAGAAACAGGTGCTACTGGCGGTTGATTGGCCCTTGTTTGACGATCGGTGAACGGTTCCTCTTGACTCTGTCTGATTTCCTTTTCCATATCGTGTGATTCTTCTGGTTGTGTGCTTTGATCCTGTAGGAACAAAAATGAAGTAAACATGCTTTTGCCGATAAATCATTCTAGTCTTTCACTACAACACACGAATAAGAATAAGAGTGCATTTGCAGTTTCAATTCAACCAATCACCTCCATACTATTTTATGCTAAATAAAACAAAATTGAACTAAACTTCAAGATAGCATATAATAGCAATTTACCTCATTTTCTTCTTGATTTAGTGTAACTTCTTCTTCAGGAATCCACTCAGCCGCTCTAGCCCTAAAATCGTGAATTGAACTTTTTTCTTGGTCACTGCTTACAGGGTCCTCGACAGCATCATCACCTTCTTCCTGAGATTCATCCGACTTATTTTCTGTCCTATCATCACTCTCCGAGGTTTCAGCAGATTCTTGACTAGATTCCTTACTTCCTGGCAAAAATCGGGGTATATTCCGTCGGTGCTGGACACGCGTATCGAAAATGCTATCTTCACTGGCACTAGAATTTTCATTGGGAGGTTCAAAATTTTTGTCGGAGTCAAATTCACCTTCAACGTCCGAGAACGGATCATGACTGCTACCTGACTCTTCTTCTCTAAACAAGGTCTTAGACTTGTCGCTTTGGCGCGATCTTTTCTTTCTAGTAGCCATCTGTAATTAAATTAAATACCTTGTAACAGGCAGCCACACCAGAAGCAATAGAACACGATTGCAATAGATACAAAACGTAGAATAAAACATAATATAATATGGTTATAGGTTAGAGTGTACTAAAATATTTTAATTTCACTATAAAATATACTCAACTCTCTAGGAAGCATTTAAAAAATTATTGGCATCTGATTATTTGACCCCAAGAAAACACTAAAACATAAAATTGAATCAAATACTCACCTCAAATACCACGTGGTGAAATTGCGCAGCCTCCAGCGATCGTCCTCGACTGTGACACTGCGCGACTGTCCGACCGCAGCGCTATAGTCGCTCGTCGGCTATATTCGTTGCGTCACGACATGCTTACTATGCAAAAATTTATATGTGTGTGTAAGGCCACACATTTGTAGTCAAAAAATCTTTTGTTATGACAGTACACGAATGAAATCGATTACGTTGTGACAGTATACATAGGACTTCATATTAGCTCTAAGAAAACTTCACGCTTATGTTCGTACTGGCAAAGAATTTTAAAAAGAAAATAGCGTAAATGGACGTTGTGTCATATTGTGAGTTCCGTAAATGACGAAAATGGCCGTTCTGTCCTTGAAAGTGTTAATAACTTTGTATGAGTATATTACATTGTTGATTTTAAAATGTTTTAAAACTTATAATAAAAAATTAGAATTATTATTAATTACATTCATTTAAAAAATTAACCATCGAATTCTTGAGTATTATTTTATTTCATCATCTTATAAGAAATTCAAATAAATAGATTAAATTGGAAATTGATTATTACAACCAAATGATGCCAACCCTAGCAAATTTCTCTATTGACTCTATTTCCGTCCCCATTAACCGCAATTTCTGGGTAAATAGGGATAGCATCTATTTTTGCCATTTTAGCTTAAACTGGAATCTTTATTGCATAGTTTTAAATAAGATTACAAAGATACCACCAAGACTCAATCATTTTGATCCTGATATAGCAGTATATCCTTCAACAGTTATCTTAAAATTGTTCATAAAGTTGGGAATTGTCCCTATTCACCCCATTTTAATAATAATATTGGACTTTAGGTATCTACCTAAAGTTTAGTATGATGATATAATGCGTAATGTAATAAGTGCAAGTAATTGAGATATAATTGAGATGAGAATGACGACTTAAAATTAGCAGAATTGGTCTACAGTTTACCAACTGCAAATAAGTTTAACGTCATTACTGGCATAGCAACGAGTTTTTATTAATCTAAGTACCTATTTTGTTTATTTAAAGTAACACAATAAAAAGTAAAACAATAAGAGATGATTATCAGTTAAGAAGGAGAAGAATATTTATTTATTATATAGGAATTTATGAACTGTTCAATTTGTCTTTATGAAGAATCCTTTATGGGGCGGGGAAAAAAGTTTCCAGTACTTGTGGCATTACAAGCTTGAGAGCGTCTTGCCTGCACCCAAATGCCACTTTTCTCGGGTGCCCATACATTTAGTGTAGACAAAGCGTTTCTCGAATTTACCACGCTAACAAAGGTGAAAATAATGCAAATTATATTAGTAAATAGCGCTTAAAAATATTTTGGACACATAAAATAAGAAACTTATGGGTCACCATTGAGTTATGAAGATGACGCCATTGAAATGCGATAATTACGTTAATATAGGAAAAAATGAGCTAAGCATTAGATCAAGTTTTAGAAAAGAAAGATCAGTGATTATAGCAATAAAAGGAGCAAAATAAATATCTGTTATTGAATAGGGTTATTGGGTATAAGTATATCATTTGAAGGTTATATGCGCTACGGTGCAGCAAATCAGACTATAGAGAAGTTAAATTTAATATTCCAGTTACGAACAATAAAACTGCAAATATTTGGACACCTTCATATGAGAGCAAACAACTACGCCTCCCTCTTAGTTTGACATCGTTAAGATTCATGATCAAGTTTTGTAATAAGTTTGTCTTAGAGTGCGTGGTACGTTTACACGCTTTTTTTTAAATATTCCTTTTAAAATATAGATAAAGAACTATAAAAATTGCCGTGACCATAGTGACAAAAGTGAGTAACATTGTTGAACATTTTATAAGTCGTAAAGGTATTTGTATTGAACAATATAAAACTAGATAGGTAAGAAGATATAGTAAATACACAGGTTATATAGTACTATTTGTTGTAACATTTATGGTAAATTATCTGTTACCTTCGTATCTGTAATCGAGAGAAGTAATAACTTGAGTTGAGCATTGTCATAACTTAAGCAGATATTTTTACCAAAAAAACAAAAAAAAAAACTTATAACGTAAATAAACAATTATTATTTAATTATTGTGAACAGTACTTATTTCATTCAAATTGTCGTCATAAGTTTAGATATATACTCAAGCAATTACTTCTTTCCACTATAGATACGAATGTTAGTCATATGAGAATAAGAAGTTAAAAGTTTAGTAAAGTCAAATGGTGATGGTAAGTCAGTCAAAAAAATCTTTATAAAAGTTTGAAAGTGTTTTTTTGAATTTATCTATTTTACCCAATAAAATACAATAACTTTTAACAAAATGATAGCATATTCAAAACTTACTTAAGTAGCTGCTGGTACTTAAGATAGAATAACTCTGTCCTTATGTACCAGCTCTCCTTCCATAGCACAATATTATCAATAAATTCGGTATATTGTGGATTTAGTGCAATAATTCATAATTAACATTTAAGAATTATGGTTAGTATTTGATTTATGTAATTAACGAGTGTGTGTATAAGCCTATATGTAAATAAACTTAAAAATAGTAAAATAGATATATTATATATACATACATGTTGTGTGTGTGTGTTTTTATGTAGTAACTTATTGTTTATGAAAGGGTCCCTCAGTTTGATCATAATTTTGTTTTAACAGCCAATCAAAGTTAGTTTTTTATTATATTTTCGTTAATTTATGACTTTTGGACTAGTTTATTTTATCAATAAATATGTATATTTCAGTTCTACTTATTTAAGGAAAGCACGTCAGGTTACTACAAAAGGAAGAATTCCTATAATCAATATAAATATTAATCTTTTGGTGGTAAAATTTAATATGGATTACAGAAAAAGGTTTTGCAAATCTTTTTCTTTCCTTATATATGTAGTTTTCATATGAATATGGACTTAATTATGAAATTAGTAATTTTTTTGAATAAGCCGTCTTATGGACTTATCACCGCCATTTTTTTTATAACCTTTCACATTTTCACAACCTAAAAGCTTTAGTAATTGCATTGAAAAGTGATGTTTGAAATGTAGTCTTTTATTTATTTATGTCCAGATACCATGATAACCGTAGTGGCATTGTTATGCTTGGCGTGTGTATATTGCCTGTACTGGGTGGTGAATGCGCGACGTATGGACAAGATGACAGCATCTCTGCCAGCGCCACCGGGCTTGCCGATCATTGGTAACGCGACACTGTTCATCGGAGACACTGAACGTAAGAATAATTTCCTTTTCTTATTTTAAAATAATTGAAAACACCTAGAAACTCGACAGCTTTTCGCAAACCGTTGTAAAGTAAAGAACGTTTCTGTTATTCCTTTACGAATGACTACCTAAAAAATTCCACATATGTTCCTGCTTATTTCAGCCAAGCAAATTCTAATTTAATGTTAAGCACATAATGTTAATAATAATTTAGTCACGTAGGTGGATAGGCACGTAGCTAGTAATTTTCAACACTTAAAAAACAATGGAGCACTAGGGTTGCCTACTTTTATTAAAAGAAATAGAGCATATCTCATTTCAAAGGACAAATCTATAAAGATCATGGATTTTAAAAAATGTTAACTGTTATCACTATGGCCTGTAGGTTTATTTTAATCAAAGAGATAAATTAGATATATTTAAAAATACATACAAAATAAAAGAAACACAGCAATAGCAAGTGACAAAGACATATAGCAACAATATTTGACTTTCTCCGCTATATATATATTTTAACAAACAAGTTCTTATTGACAGATATAACTTCTAAGTGCCTAAAATTCATTTTAGACAATAAAAATTAACTTTATTTGATTTAATATATAAACTTTATTATAATAAATTTACAAGTTTTTGCCATGTTGATAGTTTACCAATGGTCATCGACATGCATTAACGCCTCCATTACCTTTTGTGATGTGTTTCATCTGACTGAAACTCTAATGCTGCGTGCGGCATCGCTGTTTCAGGTTGCATTCGAAGCAGAATTTTTACATAACAAAATATACATAATTTATCAATTTATTTCCTCGTACTTCTTTTTTAGAGCTTTACACTATGCCGTGGATGATTCTAATATCATTGTGATATTGTTAAATCCACAAACAAAGCAAAATAATTTTTTTATTATATTATGTTAAAATCTCTAGGATCTTTGCTGAATCAGAGGTCATAAAATAATATACGCGCTTCATAAAACTTAGTCTTTATTTTATTTTATACCAATTGTTTATATAGAGTTTAGACTTCTATTTTATTCTTTATTCTTAATTAAAGTTACCTATTTCAGAAATGCTTAAGAACCTCGAAGATTTGGCTGATAGAGCATATCAACACAAAGGTTGTATTAAAGTTTGGTTGGGCCCAAAATTATATGTTGGTAAGTGAAAAGTGCAATTGAAAACTAGTGAAAATTATTATAATAATAAAATTATGCGTATGTTAACTGCGAAATGGATTTTTTGAAAATATGCCAAAGTATTTTTGGATGGAAAGTTATTTTTCGGGAATATTATTTGAAACGCCAATAAAACACTAAATGCATTTGCGTTTTCTAATTAGTAAGTGCATCAAACAAAAAACACAATGAGTTGCTGTATATTTGGAAATTTTAATTTCACAATTAAGGCGCTTAATACATGAAAATAATAAAGGAGGCGAAATCACAAGACAGGCGAAAGCTAAAAGTAGAGAAAAACTAATTCTGATTAATAGTTCTCAAACTTTTATGGTTACTTATAGTAGTTACTCGTGTTAGCTCGAAGCTATAAATTTATGACTAAGTTAAGATAGTTTGGTGTTCTTTGAAATAAAGCACGTTATCTTTTAGCTATCGGGAACCCAGAAGATGCACAAGTTGTCCTTGAAAATTGCCTGGATAAGGATGTGGTATATAGATTCTTACGACCCTGGCTGGGTCATGGCCTATTCATAGCCCCAGGTTTGTAGTTTTGTTTACAATTGAATAAGATCAAGGATTAAAATAGTATTGATTTTTACTATCTCTTTTTATAACATTTAAAAAACATTTTTGCGAAGATTTGCTTAACGAACAGAAGCTTTTTAACGAATAACATAAAGTTGATGTTAAGCACGTATTTATATTTTTACAAGGTTCAATTGAACTGGCCTTATTAATGTGGGTTAAAACTTTTAAGTTAAATTTACCTGTTTTCTATTGAACAATGAGCTGGTCTAATGACCAAGCTGGAAGGAAGCCTTTTGGGAATTCCGTAATTAAAAAATCTTCTTGATGAAAAATGTTTAAAAAATCCAGTTTGTCCCTGGCACTCTGAAATGGGACTCGAACCCATGACCTTTCGCAATCCGGGCGACTGCTCTAACCACTGAACTACTCAGGACCTGGTTCTGGGTGGATTTTTTAAGCAGTTTTCGTTCAGAATATTTTACAGTATATCAATTATTATTATCAATCTCATTGAGTGTCGTTTAATTTGTTCATACAATATCTTTGTTCAAACAAATTTTTCGGGATTGGATGCATCTGGTTGGTCCCTACTGGATTCCAGGCCCTTTTCATAAAGCGAGGGTGCATGAGGGGGTTTAGTGGGTATATCATCCACAAATTTGACTAATGTTCGTGTGGATAGAGAGCACAGACCCCCTGTTTCCTGTCAAGCGGCAGGAACAATGCAGAAAGCATTCCCTCTACGACAAAAAAAAATGTAGTAAAATCGTGTTTAGTAAAATAAATTTTTAATTATAGTTATTACAAGTATTTGGAGGTTGACAATAGTTTATTTTTCAGTTGGGCTATGGAAGGTGCATAGAAAAGTTCTTTTGCCAGTTTTCCATAACAAAATTGTGGAGGAATACTTAGGAGTCATTGGGGAGCAGTCAACTGTGTTGGTCGAAAGACTCTCCGAAAAGGCAGATAAAGAAGAATTTGATGTACTCAAGTACATTACTGCTTGTACTCTGGACATAGTATTTGGTTGGTGTAATTTACGTATATTTTTATGTATCCTTAATTAAATGCTATTGAATGATATAGTAAGTTAACTGTGTATATAGATAGGCACATAGTTAATTTATCTTATCATTAAATATATTTTTTTATTTTAAACAATGAGCGATTTGCGTATTTGAATAAGATCCAGAAGTGCTGCAAAAGGTACTAAAAGTTTTATTTCATTGATGCAACAGTGTTTTTTTAACAGGAATTTGTTGATTCAATGATTTTTATCGAGATAGCACTATTGATATTTTTAGTGGTTTTATGTTATTAATTAGTCACTATTTTTCTCAGTGTACGTTAATTACTTTACTTTTTTTATGGAATGGAACTAGAATATGTATTAAAGAGGCAAGCCCCCACTGAGCGCTTGTAGGTGCAACTCGGATGGTTTTCTATATGTTTACAATGTTTATTTAGAGACAGCGATGGGTGAGCGCATGGACGTCCAGCACACTCCAGACACGCCGTACCTGCGCGCACGCCACACCGTCATGACTATATTGAACATGCGACTGTTCAAGGTGTGGCTTCAACCCGACTGCCTGTTCAACCTCACTCCGTACGCAAAACAGCAAAAAGACAACATAGACCTCACTCACAGGTTTACTGATGAGGTAAGATAAATTAAATAAAATTAGCAAGTAAATGACAACAACAGGCGATAGTGAACTGTAAAGACTAGAACCAAAGAACTAGCAGGAGGAACATGCATCTTTCACATAACCCCGGCTAGCCGCGCTGGCAAAAGTGCAGTGATGAATTTCCCAGCGTTAAAAAAAAGGAACATGCATCTTCCCTCATAACTGCTACCCGCGTGGCAGCCCAATTATATAATAACGTTGGAACTGTTATTAGCAATGTAAAACGTCAATTTTAAGTATTTGATAAGATAGGTACCTAATATAATCTATCTATACTATAATAAAAACGTAACCGATCGATGTCTGTACATTGAAGATATATGAAAAAAACTGTTCTGATGGACCTTAATAAGCGTAATAGAACACAAAACAATGATTTTTATTTTTTTTATCTGTTTGTCTGTTTGTCGGTTTGTCTGTTTGTCTGTGCGTTTGTGCACCATAATGTCAGAAACGGCTGAACCGATTTAAATGCAGTTTTCTTCCATTAACATTTAGTGTAAGATTTATTTCAATCGGTTCACAATAAAAAAGTTATGTCAATTTGAAATGACGTGTTCGCCAAAACTGCTATGAAATATTAACTGTTTTGTTAAATTTTCGTCTTTGATATATTGATTATCATCATTTACTCTTTCATTGTCAGACCGCAGGGCCTCAGGCCTTTGTTAAATAAGGATGGGTGACCAAAAAAATATCATTTGAAGTAACTCCAAGCTTCGGAAGGCACGTGAAGCGATTGATCCCAGTTGTATTTGTAGTCGTTAATATCGTCCAATCCGCATTGGGCCAGCATGGAGGGTCTTGGCCCATCCTCCGTAACCATCCAAAAGGAAGGCCTGAGTTCCTTCAATTGGTGACTAAAAGGGCTGATGATGATGATGATGAGGGCCGTCCAAATCTGACGGAACTGAGCTTCCGTCAGATTTGGACGGCCCTCATCATTAAACACCTCTCGGAAGTATGCGTTAGTAGACGATTTCCTTTGAGTGTGGAAAATCGTATATATTTATATATTTTTTATATCAATAAATAAAACTCCCCGTATCTTCCGTCAGACGTGTACCGACTGAATTTTATTGACAAAGAAAGAGATCGAACGGAAAGCGCTCAACGCGAGGCTCATGCACTAAATCTGAAGCATTTACCATCAGGGACAATCTCTTGAGCTCTCGGAGAACTCATACAACAAGCGTTTGATCTTAGGAAACTTCTGAAGATCGCATAGCGTGTCTAACTGCTGATCGTAACATACATGCAGTATGGTATGAGTACCTATGAAACTTCATTTGATACAGAAATGCGCTTGGTCTCTGAAAGAGCAGTTTGCATAATAGAGATCGAGAAAGTAGTTTCGATTATCGTCAACCCGTGTTGCCTTCATACTCCACAGGCGTACCGCAGATAAGTTTTCACAGGGTATAATGAACTAGCTGTTTTCCCGCGACTTTGCCGCAAAATTATAGCCTATGACATCCGCGTCTGATGTGGCCTCCCTTAGGTCGGAATCGCTTTGAAACTATCGGTCCAGTAGTTTACGAGCAAATTCGATGCAAACAAACAAACAAATAAATAACCAAATCTTTCCTCTTTATAATATTAATATAGCTTGGGTATAAGAGGTCCGATGGCGTAGTGGGTTAGCGCATTCGATTTCAATTGCAGTTAAATAAGTAAATAAATACTAACATAACAAGTACATACATGAATACTTATTTTACATAACTAACTACAAACGACAAACTCATCGCTAGCCAGCGATTTCTTCCAGGCAACCTAGCATTACATGGAAAATAGAACAATAAATAGCCATTTGTACATACAACTTGACAAATAATAATAATTTTAAAAAGATCAAAAACAAAAGAAGGATAGTTTAAAGGTACGAATAAAATGCTCAGACACAAGCGACAACCAGAGCGTGAGAAATGAGAAAAAAATAGAAAAATAACATTCGTAAGGACCGTTTACAGGATGGTTGACCAAAACATTATTATCTTGAGCACTATGCACAACACTGGCATAATACACGTTAGTCCTGGATGCATCAGCAACGTTAACATACACCGATCCGCATTAAGCCCGCGTAGTGGGTTATGACCCATTGATCTTATTCGATTCGTCTGCATTCATAGGCAAAAAAAGAATTCTACCAAAATACTTCCCACGCAGACGAAGTCGCGGGCACAGCTAGTGTATAATAATTTTAGTAAGAATATATCAACAACTTTGAACTTGATTTTGTGGTAAGGAGGTAGACCACTTGCTGTAAGTGAGTTACAACAATTCAATCGGGTAATTTGTAACATCATCCTGGACAATGTTATTATTAAAAGAATTGTAAACCACTTCATACGCAAAACTGCTTGGACATTTCTGGGAGTTAATACCCTGCGTTAGTATAACGAAATATTTTCTTTGCTTGGAATAAAAATTAAGACTCCTAATATGGAGTGAAGTAGTTCTTTCTCTGGAGCAACAACTTTACCCATCACACCATCATGTTCTTCTGTATTTTTCTCATATGCTGAAAAATTATTGGGCTTATAAAATATCACTAAGTTGGGCTGTCATATTGATAAATCAATCTAAATATTTGTATACATGGCCAGTGGTATGAATTCTCCAATGAAGCATTAATTTCATCTGATCTTGTTCCTTTAATTATTTCGGGAAGAGTTTGACAAAAATTTTCTGAGAATAAATTTGTGATGTTACTCATTTAGACAGCAAACAGCAAAAATTTGTTGTTATAGAACAGGTTGGTGTTACAGTTTTGTCTGAATAAATTAAAATTTTGAAGATTATGTGTGCTGTCTTACTATCAGGAAGCAACAAATTTGCTCTTGTAATATATGTTTATTAAGTGCTCCCCGAGGAATTTAAGAAAAACAACTTTATTACATAATTAGAGACGATGTAGATAACTTTATAGCATATTTCCCTTTGTTGAATCGTAAAATTTTAAATACTTTATATATTAACTACTTTGGCTAACTCTCGAAAACAGTGATTAGTTTCAGCAACATATTCACGATTGATTTAGTTGTCCGTAATCATCGAAAAATTTATATCGCATGGATTATTTTGGTTGGAGTGACTGGATCCTGTACATTTTTCTTCGAAGTGCGTGAAATGTCTTTAAATAGATTTTTTATACATTTCCCGTATTGTGAAGGGATCTCAATGAGCAACATTATTGCAAACAAATGACGTAATGAATGGAGACTTTAAAACAGTTGTCCTAGTGTTGGTCATCGTTAAGAAGGTGAAGAGAAACATGAGGTGAAGGTAAACATACAAATTGCATACAACTTTAACAACAGTTTTCAAAAAATAAATGAAGTTGTTCCTCGAACTGTATGGAGCAACAGGCGCAAAAACTAACATTCTAAATTAATGGGATAAATAGTATACACTCTCCCTAGAGCAGCAAAGTGAAATATGTAAAGTAAATGCTCATCAGACTGAACGACTTTCGCATATACAAGATTTCTTTAAATGTAATTCTCAGTTTTTAAAAATCTACATCATGTGTTTCAAATCTTCGAATTTTTATCGTTATAGAAAATACCGCGGATCTTAACAAAAGTCGGACAAAACAAATTTTGTTACGATTCTTATAAGTCAAAAGAAAATGCTCATTTCTTTAAACAATTTCTGTTAAGACATCGTTTCCATTTACGTTTTAGTGTAGCGGATTCTTAGAGTTTTTAATTAATCACGCAGCAAAATATGCTTATCAGATGGAATATTTTTTGTTATGGCGCCATTTCTGTATCTCTTACTGTTTTGTCGATCTCTTCCATATGACGGAGACCAATCCATGATTAGGGTGATTCTTGGGAAATGTGTTCTCCGTGTAATTTCCAGGGCATTTTTGAAATCGCAAAATTATGGTGAATTATATAAATATTTCGAAAACTTCTGCAAATTTAAACAACATATTAAAATTGGCCACGACTGAGATCTAAACTTTTGCTAAAAAAAAATGTAGAAAATTGGCGGACCATGGAAATTACATATAAGGCAATGGAAATTACACAGCAGATAAAATTTTGCTAAACACCATGTCGTATATGAAATTAAGCTGTCATATTAGTTAGGGTAGTATTAAGATCTACCTACATTATACTGAAACGATATACGATAGTATTTTCTCAAAGTTGGAACGAAACCTAAACACGTTCATGTTCTCAAAAAACAAAATATATACAACGTGTTATGGAAATAGCGCAAAACCTCTCAGGTGGTAGCTCAGCCCATGAAACTGAACAACTTTCACTATGAGACCAACATTGAAATTTCAGCATCTGGTAAATTTTTCGAAGTAACGTTACATCGGACAAACAAAAGTCGGGCGTCGAAGTAAGATATTCGATGTATTGAAACTTCGAACAATGAACGCTTCGACGTTCACGTATAGTTGTCGATGTATCAATTATCGAAGAAACGTGTTTCGAAGTGACATAGAGAACCCTTTTTCGAAATGGTAATTTATTTTGTCAATTATCTTATAAAAAACGCATCCTACGTCAAATATCAGTAATTAATTTATTGTAAATTTAATTGGCTTTCATTTAACACCAAATTGGTACCTGTAGGGCCAGTGGTTTTCTCAAAAACGATAGATAACGAACACCGGTCATAAGTAGATATTAGGAGGTTATTTCAGTCAAGATAACCCCTTTAGCTATCTATCGTTTTTGAGAAAACCATTGGCCCTACAGGTACCAATTTAGTGTTTAATCAAAGTAAATTTTTACAATAAATAAATAATTTATATAATATGTTAACTTAATCCGGTGTAAAAAATGTCCTTGTGACCCTGTTAACTTCAAACAGACGACAGCGAAAGACAGATGTTTTAAACTTGAATTTGTTTAATCACGATTTGAGAATTTGAAGATGATGATCAAAGTTTTAAATGATATTTAAGACTATTTAATTAAAAAAATAACCAACATTCAACATTTAAGTCTGTATTTGGCGATGGCGTGCATTTCATTGAAAACAAACATTGAACATAACGTTTATTTTTTTGCAACCAAAATGAAACAAAGTAATTTCCATGGGTGATACGTAATTTCCATGGTGTTTTATCCATGGAAATTACACCATGGAAATTACCAAAAATCATATATTTTGAAATTACTCTGCAGTGAAAAGATATAACCGGCTAGTTTATTACTGTTTATCTACATTATAGAGCTAGATATTTCACCTTAAAACCCATTTTCTAAAAGAAGTACAATTATATTGAAAAAATGTGACATGGCAAAGCCGGATAACTGAGAACCAAAATTTAAGAAATTGAAGAACTTATTTTAGCAACGAAAGCGCGGGAAACAGCGACGTGGCCACCTCACCTGCTAGCTGCGGCATAAATGACGATTCGCAAACACCAATCGGGGTTCGCCTACGCCTCGCCAGCTCAGAACAGTATCTCGCGCAAGGCGCGCGGCGAAAATTTTGCTAAGCGTGTGACACATATACTTCTGACCATAAAATCAAAAGTTTCCTTCAGATTAATTTGAAATTTGATCAATATGTAAACCGATTTGTCTTTTTTAAATGAGTGTAACAAACTGATTAAAAACGTGGGTAATTTCAAAAATATTTGCGATTGCTCAAAAGTCGGCGCGCGTGTGACACGGTAAAAACGTGCAAAATTGACCGGATTTGTGGTGTTGAGGGTAAATTACTCCGATCTACGTCGTTTTTTATCCGTGAAATCTATATGACACTATGCTTAATGAAATGAAGAAACGATGTAATAGTAGTTTTTATCATAATAATTTATTTTTATAGGAGATATGTCCCTGTGACACTCAAAAATTGCTTTTCCAAGAAGTACCCATTAATATCTTCAAAATAAAATAAACAAAATAAAATTCGTTCAATAGTTTCAGAGATTAGCGCGTACATATAAACAGACAGACACGCTATTTTATTGTTTCATAACAGCATAGAAGATTTATTAATTTATTATTGTTACGCTATAATACTCTCAACACTCCCGTTTATTTTGTGAGCTTCTCTGCTAGTCTGTTTAAAGGTAAAAAAAATCGATAGGATGTTATTATACGATCTCGTATTTCCTCATTCATTTTTCCCACTGATCCGTCAATAGCGATCAAGTACTAATTGTTTGTGCTTACAATGGCTGCGGGCCTCATCAAAAACATATTTTACTAAGATAGCAATTTCTATGATTCGCTTCATACTTACGATGCTTGAACTTAGTTTTATTAGCCCTTTAATTTCTAAATAAAGTTAAAGGTTGAGCCAACCTACTTGGTTTATGACCTTACCATACCTAGTATACTATAAACTTATTGTAATAGCCTAATTTGAATAAATGATTTTGATTTGATTTGATTTGTGGTTCCAATGAGAACCGATACACATGCGTGTAGAGGTGTCTCCCATTACGCTGCTAGTACACCTACACGATCGCTTCCGAAAGAAAAAACAACAAAAAATTGCCAGTTTATGGCAATGTTTCCCCTGGAATTTTTCTCGCTCTATTTTAAGCTCGAAGAAATAGCTGCGTCCTTGTCAGTACGATTTCGTAGGTAACTTAGAAAAACGTCGTTACACAGACGCAGATGTTCCGCATTCGCAATAGTTTCGCATGTTTCTCTTCTATAAGCAAATGCAACAGTGTACTAACGCCGATAATAATAGAATTTTAACGAATTTTAAATCCTATGGTATCTTACCAACAATGCTATATAACACCAAAATCTCTTAAAGGATGAGGCATTGCCTTGAAGTGTAGTAGATGGAACTTGTATCTGTGTCTATTTCATAGTTTATGGTCATGGTCAAGACAAACCATAAACATAATAATATGAAGTAACACTACATACTCTAAAATGAATGAGAAATGTTTGTTTCAAATAAAACGTAATTATACAAACACACGTGAGCTATTCGTTTGTATGTTCAACAACTGATGTAGTGTTTGAATTGCTTTGACGTTAGCCTTACTACACCATTTACAAGTGTTAAGGTTGGCCAACACTAAAAACGACTGACGACTTATTTATTTGTTTTTAACCGACTTCGCAAAAAAGATATTATCAATTTGACCATTATGTATTATACTTATCATATGTCTATGAATGAATTAACACTTAATTGGAAATACATAAATAACTTTACATAAAAATCACTATAAACAGGGCAATCGGCGGCTTTAACTTAAAGAGCAATATCTTCCAATCTGTGTGAGTTTCAGGCATGTGTGTCAAATTTCGTAAATGTATGGGTATAGTTAGGTATAATAATACAATTATAGTTACATGAAACATGATTAAGAGACCATTCACAATCTTTATGTTATTTCAAATAGCATTTACAGACATTAAAAAATACAAAGCGAGAATGTATACATAATACTCGAATACAAAAACTTCATCAGTAAATAGTGTCAGTAGTTTTGAAGACAAGATGTATTTAAGGTAAAAAATAATTCAAGTAACTTGTATAAAATGGGGCCGTTGTAAAAACCCGTATTAAAATAACATCTTAATATCTTTCAGGGCCTAAGCTGCTTTTTATTTTATTGTAAAAAAGTGTATTTCAAGTTATGTATGTGAAAACAATGGCATTTACCATCAGACGTCTAATAAAATAGTTGGTTTACAATGTTATTGCTACAAAATAATCTTACGCGAAGGCTAGGTATGTTGACATATGCAAATGTTTGATAATGTGTTTAGGAGTTTTACTAGTATAACGTTCGTATAAAAGTTCTATAAGCATACATCAACTACCTTTTGAAACTTTGACGAAGTTAATTTTGTAAGGTTAACGCTATCAGACAGAATCTCGATGCTTCGAAACTTTATTGGCATAAACAGAGTTGGCATAATGTTTTCTTGACGAATTAAATTATTAATTATTATTACCCGACTTCAAAAAAAAGGAAGTTATCAATTCGAGGTATATGTATGAAATTTCATTGGAATGGCAAAAAAACTAACACTAAAAATAGTGCGATCTAACTATAAATTTTCAAAATTTATAGTTTAAATTCAACTATAAATTTTGAACCTTAATTATTTATTATCAAATATGCTTACAATTTTATAATTATTATGATCATGATTGTTTAATATTCAGTAGACAAGTGTCAAAAGCATTGCAGTGATGTAATGTTTCTTTATAAAATACAATATCGTCCTGCACTAATTTTCACTATCCCTAATAATTTTAGTAAAAATAAATGTTCAAGGTTTTTGGTTCAAGTATCTATACGATATTATAAAGACTAGGTATATGTTATATTATAAAGAGTATAGTTATGTTTCTACTTTGTTTGTTTGAAGAATCTTTGGAATTATTAATCAATCAATGAAAATTATTTCACCTTTGGGAAACAGCTAGTAAATACATAATAATAATATTTTTTATTAGAACTTAACAGGTTTCCAGGGGTCCTACCGCCTAACTCTTGGACGTAGCCGTAGTCGGAGCTATAACCTACGCTTTATAGGTTTAACACATGAATGAATATTGTTTTAAAATTAATCATTTTTTATTATTTGCATATTTAATCAATGCTTTTAGTTGTTTTTGTTTGCTGAATTATTAAAGTTAAACAAAATTTACAAAATGTCGAATTGATACAAACAATGCTATTTCGAAAAGAAAAACAAACATTTGATAAAATATATAAATTAAAAAAAGCAATTAATTTTAAAAGAATATAAACAAATTCATAAGTGATGTCGATAAAGCGTAGGTTATAGCTACGACTACGGCTACGTCCATGAGTTAGGCGGTCGCGCCTCTGTGATATAAAATTAAAGCCTATTTATTTACACAACAAAAAAGTTGTGATGACGCATAAATTATATTATTGAACAAAGGAGAATGGGCAGAAGTCGGCTAAAATTACGCAAAATTGCTCACTACGCATTTATTTATCAAAAATCTTCTCTGAAATTATAATTTATTCTATACAAATACTATTTTAAAAATTATGCGGCATTTAAAATTAACTCTATTAACGCAATTGCTAAATATAACTTCGACTACCTACTAAGTTTCAAGTTATTAATCGACTTGCCATGCGACCTACTACTAATTTTATAAAATAAAGTATTTTAACTCTGAAAATGTTGGTCAGGTATTATATTGGTCAAAGATTTTTTTAAATCGGCCCAATAGTTTTTGAGTTTATCCTTTACAATAAAAAACAAAGCTTTTCTTTTTATAATATAGGTATGTACTTTTTCGCAATTAAATATTTCTATCTGTTAGTCATTAATTATTTAATAACTACATAACCTCAAAATCCCTGTAAAATATTCAGATATTCTTCAACTCCGGCATAAATTTAAAATTATTTTTTTCCTACTCATTCTAGAAATAATTCTCTATCGTTTACCGTTAGTTTCAACAAGGTGCACAGTTATGCAAAAATAGCCGAACTCTCATAGTAAATTGCTCATTCTCCTTTTTGTAAAAATTATATCATCTTCGCATCTAGTTGACATTTTCAGTGAAAAATATTTTTTGCGTTTTATATGAATTCATGATATACATAGGTGCGTGTTCTTCTTGATAACGTAATATTTTGAGATTTCATTTAGAATATTTTTCAGTAAAGCATTGTAAATGAAAAATTGATCAAATAGAACAAAATTTCGTCTTTATCGAAAGTTTAAATATTTGTTATAGAATAAGAGCGCGATCATATGATATCTATATATTATTTTAATTTTACAGGTGGTTAAAAAGAAACGTCTAGAATATGAAAGAAAGAAAAACGGAGCAGACAAATTTATTGAACCAACTGGTAAGCATATCTCTACTATATAAGCATGAACACTCGCTAGTTATAATTGTGAAACTCCTGGTTTGTTTTCAGTTTCTAAAATTTTACAGTTTTACAATGTCAAAGCGAAAAAAACTCATAAAATATGAAAACATTTATTTAGTAGCGTAGCTTAAGCGTCACCCGAGGCGAAAATAATGGTATTACTGTAGGCATTATTTTCTTGTAATCCCGTCATTGTATTTGTGAGACGTTAGCTGTAATATTTTGAAGTTGAGTGAGAATTAGCTTCATCATGCTTTACCATATTGCAGTAGATAATTAATATTAACCACCCAACTTCCAGAAAGTATACATTAGTTTTAATTTTTCTGTAAGCTTTTTGAAAAAAAGTATTTTAAACTCGTTAATTTTTGGCTCTTTCAGTGCACTTATTGTTGATTGAATAATTCGTAATACCATGATGAGTCAAAAACTACTAATCAAAACCTCTTTACTTTTTGGGACTTGAGAAATACGCAAAAAGCAACATGGCGTTAGCGTTAATTTGAGAACATCGTCTTTTTTTAAACATATAAAAAAATTAAGTATACAAATAACTGAATGAACTGAATTCTCGTCAGAGAGTACTTAGAAAATCTAAGCTTTTTTTTCCAAAAGTCCAAGTCAATGTTTTTGATCATGTGCGTAAAACATTACTTTTAAGAAAAACAATAACTTTATTTTTGTATTTTTACTGACAACATGTGATTAATTATGACATATATGACATTTACACCGAACTTATATTACTTGGTATTATTACATAATCATATCTTTTCATGTGATCATACTGAAAACACGTCCTCCTTTCTTAAAGCCACTTATAAATGTTTATTACTCTATCTGGTAGTAAGCTAAGCTTGACCTAGCCTGTGTCACCTGCATATAATGTTCCTTAGGAGCGTATTCGATAAAAAATATTATTACAAAACTGCAATTAGTATTATAAATATATCTAATATGTTAGTACATACAAATTGCACTATCACACCCGATTTGGGAAACACATAAAAGTTTTAAATAAGTTCCCAAATGAAAAAGTACATCAGTTACATCAAAAGGATGATGTTAAACTTAACAGTCAAAGATTGTCGCGGTCTTCGCAGGTCCGAATTTACAAAATTAATATTATATGATTTATCTTAACATATTATCGCAATGTCTGTTTTTTCTTTTATTTTATTTAAGAACTTTGAAAACATACCCGTCTGATCGTAGCTCGTTCTTTTTCCAACTGTGCGTATTATATTATGATGATTTTGGCGTCCCCTCACACTGATGCTCGGGGAAAGTGCCCCATTTTACCCTGTCTAGATTCGGCCCTGACCTTTCGAAGTAATTCAACGTGATGTCAACTGTGTAGGTATATATCAATTTAACATTACCGCAAACAAATAAACTTTTTTGTTTTCACGTCGAAAAATTGCTTCCACATACCTACTGCCTACATATTGACATAGCTATTAACTACACGCAATATTTGCCAATGACGATAGTTTCAAAGTACATAAATCGACGTAATACCTCTTTTTATCAGTGTGATGCCAGAAAAACGTAATTAGGAGTATAGTAAAATGATATACGTACTTATTATTTTTAACTATAATCAGAGTAATACTATCAAATGAAAAATATCCTACTGATAATGTTAAATTCTTCTTTTGTAATAGATTGTTTATATTTTTGTATATTGTTTAGCAAATTCAACTATATTTTAATTTGATAAATAAAAAATATTGATAAAATTATAGAATACATATTATAGGAGTTTTAATTTACAAATCGGTGTTAATTCCGGATATCATAAGATACATTATGCAGTCATGCGACACATTAGCTTTTAAGTTATGGGCGGCAGGAAACTTAATCAGTCGAAGGGGGATGATGACTATATTTTTTGTCTGTCCGTCATGTAGTCATCTATAAAAAAAGAAGATGATATTCAATACCTTAATTTTTTTGGCAATCAATATACATATTACAGCGATACATTGAATTAAAATGTCACATGACGTCACGCTTTTGTACATTTTCTCCAAAAATTGATATCAGTGCACGAATTGTAATATTGTATTCGTTATTATATTCACATTTATTTTTATCTTTTTTAAACTGCAAACGAAGAATCATATGTATATAAGGTGTAATATTATTAAATGCACGGACTTTTTGAGGTGGATTAGTTAAGTATACTGAAGCAACATTTACTACGGGAGCAACACTGAATTCACGAAATAATAACGATCTGTTTCATACAAAATTGTAATATACCTACAATCGTTGACTGTATAAAACAGCTGATTATTTTTCTTGAACTCAGTGTTTCTCCCAATGTAAATGTTGTTCGAAGTCCTGGCATATAATAATATTACACGTCACATGAATAATACGACGCCACTTGGCAAAGCTCTACTGTACTACTAGGATGATAGTTATTTGTTATCAATGTATCTAAATTAAGTTTATTACAATTAAAATAAAACATGAAAGTTTGGCAAAAATTTAAATAAATATCAAATTATCTTTATTTAAATATGAAATTTAAAGAAAAAAATTCGTAAATGTGTTCTCTTAACGACAAAAAACTTGTGCACTGACTGATTGCAAACTTAACGTGTAGAACGATAATGAATTGCGACGAATCGTGGCATACGTCTCTCAACAAATACCGGAATATTTGCCCGTTGTAATATTTTTACACACGCGTGTCTTAAATCGCGTGCTATATATAAGTTAAATGATGAAATCATCTGATGGATAATGTGCTAATTCCAATATTTGAGGTAAATTTTTTTTATAGACATGAAAGTAAACATACATTTATGAGGTACCGCGCAATCAGCAAAGCGATTCTGTAAAAATCCGAAGCCGAATTCACTAAATTCGGTGTCACGTTAGTAAGTTAAGTGAATTCACGTCATTTAATGAGAAAATCTATTGATTCCATTTTTTCTATTCCTATGTATTTTCGAAACTCACTTTACTATGCCACGTTATTACCAATTTAAGATAGAAGTTAATTCGGGCACCTGAGTGAATTCGAATTCTACAGATTTTACAGAATCGCAGGGCTGTGATGTCACTTCCAAATTACATAAAATACTAAAAACGAATGAAGAAAATGCAATTATTATTCAATCAAAATTTGGAAAATTCGCGATACCCGGATTCATCACGGCCATACAGATTCTCAAGATTGTAAAGAAAGACCGCCAAAGCATGGTAGCCATGCCATTGCCGCTGAAACTATTAAGAATTTGGGTACATACATACGCACAGTGATGTCCGAAAGACGGAGAAAATTGTATTATCGACTATTTTATACCTACTCAACATTGACAAATCTAAATGTGATTTTATTATTGTTGCACTGAATTTAAAGGAAATGGAATAGCTGACACACATTAAAATATACTAAACAATGTTTGCATTAGGTTTTTATTTATATGTTTACCCTGTGGCTCGATCGACACTGAATTTAATACAGAATAGCAAATCCGAACATAATTAAAGTATCTAAAGTCTTTGTATGATACAACTCTGAATTACCGAAAGTGCAAAACCACATAAACTCAACACAACATAGGAATGTCAGTTTTATAATCAAACCAGGGACCTTAGAGATAACCCTTTAAACACCTTAAAACCGGCGTCAGCGGTTATATAACTATTATATATACGTATAAAAGTTCGATCGTGGTGGAAATAAAAGTAACACTTCAGAAATATTACGTATACCTAATCTAGGTACTGTGAAACAGCAATGATATCTACTACATAAGTGTTGTAATTTTTTATTTTCAAGATAAGCTTCACGCGGTACTCGATTTGCTATTTGGGCGTGAGATTGAATTCACGGACGAGCAGCTCCGCGAACATATAGACTCCATTACAATTGCTGGCAACGACACCACTGCGCTAGTCATCGCGTACACACTTGTACTGTTAGGAGTGTACCAGGATGCTCAGGAGAATGTTTATCGAGAGTAAGTAGTGAAAGAACTGTATCCTTATAATAAATAAATATCTAGTGTGAAAGAAGCTAGTATTTTTACATTTTTCACATATAGAGGCAAATTCTTCTTGCACAATGTAAATATCAAACTATAAATTTGACATTTGTGATCACTCTATAATTATTGATATTGGCATTCATTTAATGGATTTCATATTTATATCTGGACCTAAACTGTCTAAACTTACCTTGGCTGTTAGCGAAAGAAATGAAAATGAAACTATAAGTAGAAATTGCAAAGATAAATGTATGTAATTTTTTATCGTTCCACAGTTCTTGATTGTTCATTTTATATGTTTTAATTATGAATAAAAAAAGGGACGAAGTGCCTTCAATTATAGCGCATTAACGATATCAATGCCGGTGTTCCTCAGGGGACGTCTTATCTCGTCTTCTCTTTTCTATATTTGTAATTTCATAACAGAAATGCTTTCTTATTCCTGTTACCTTTATTCTGATGATCTACTCATAGATATTCATACTCCAAGCACTCTTGTGGCACGTTTCAGAGGCAGTATTGGTTGTTAATTCGTACATCTCTCTTATATGTAATTGGAGTTATTCATATGGTCTTACCGTTAACCCTTCTAAAGCTCAAGTAATTGGCAGTCCTCATTTTATTTCTAGGATTGATTTTGAATTACTGCAGTCAAATAACTTTTAATGTGACTGTAGTCCCCTATTCTAAAACTGTAAAGCATTTTGGAGTTATCTTTGATCAAAGTTTCACTTGGAAACCTCAGGTAGAGGCCGTTAGAAAGAAGATATTTGCCACATATGGGTCACTTTATTGCTCGCGCAACTACCTAGTATTAAAACACAACTTTGACTGAATGATCATATATTTTATAAAACTGTTTTCTCTAACATAAACTTTTCACAACAACCTTTGTACTCTATTCCCGCCCGAAATTATCTCTTCATTTTTAATGTCAACTTCAAAGGTGACAGTGACAACCCACTGACAGATAGTGCTTCCACTAATACAATCGATAGAGTATCGTAGTCTAACAGCTCGGCCATCCTTCATACCTTCGGTCTCCGAAGGACACGACCTTCCTTAAGTGTAACATAGCACACCGTCTGCTTTCGTATCGTGCTTGTATTGTCATAACGCACCCACCTCAAGTTGATTGGGATACTACGTGTACCCCGTAGGTACTCATGGAATCTCGCCCATTACAGCATACATGAACCTCGCCCATTACGGCATCCATGAACTCGCCCATAAGGGCTTTTGTGTATCTCGCCCATTACGGCCCATCATCAATTTCGCCCATTACGGCCCATTATCAATTTCGCCCATTACGGCATCAATTAATCTCGCCCATTACGGCCCGTATGAACCTTGCCCATTACGGCCCAACATGGATCTCGCCCACTACGGCATCCATTGGAATTTATTATTACGTTGTATGAAAATTGTATTATTATTATTTTTCTATTATTATTCTTTTATATATATATATATATATTTTTTTTTTGCTATATTTTTTTTTTTTTTTTTATATATATATATATTTTTTTTTGCTATATTTTTTTTTTTTTTTATATATATATATATTTTTTTTTTTATTCCTCTTCGGATGAGCTTTCGCATCTAGCATGCCACAACTTCAGTTTATCACGAGCTATTATGTTCTTATATGCTCTTTTGCCCCTCTCAGCTGACGTAACCTCAAAGCGATCATTAGGCAGTACGGCTGTAATCTTATAAGGTCCTGAGTATCGTGGTACCAGCTTACCACTCGCTAATCCTGGTCTAATTATTTTTCTTTCTGCCATTACCAAGGATCCAATCTTAATCGGCTCTGGTAATCTATGACTTTTATCATACCGCTCCTTCATCCGAGAAGCATTTGCTTTAACACTTTCCGCTGCTTCGGCCCTCAACTCATTTAGGTTGGTCGTGTACATTGAACCAACAAGATCAGCCGCCATGCGCGGCCTCAGACCACACAATAATTCCAGAGGCGATTTTCCAGTTCCTTTGCTAATTGTTGAATTAATGCCCAACTGTACTTTAGGAAGATACGCATCCCATCCCTTTTGTTCATTACCCATATAAGCAGTGAGAGAACTCAAAATCGTGCGGTTCAACCGCTCAACTTGCCCATTCGCTCGGGGCGATGCTACCGCGTTTAGCACATGCTTAATATTATGTTTTGTGCAATAATCCCCGAAATCTTTTCCAGTGAAAGCAGTTCCTCTATCACTCACTATCCGAACAGGATAACCGAATACTTGAGTTAATTTGCTTAGAGATTTTATGACACCTTTTGCATTTGCACTTGCTACGGCCTCGAGCCATATAAATTTAGTAAAGCCATCAATTATGGCAAATATATATGATTTGCCATTGCTCTTGCAAAAAGGACCTAAATGGTCCACATGTAGTGTATCGAAAGGTGCCGGCACTCTGGGAATAGGGTGCAGCAATCCCGGCTGCTTACCTGTAGGTTTCTTTGTAAACTGACATCCTATGCAACTCGAGACATACTTCCCAACATTCTTTCGCATTTTCGGAGTTCCAGTACTTGGATTGTATGGCCTCTACACATTTCTCCAGTCCCAAGTGCCCATTATCGTCATGGTAAAGCTTCATAATATGCCATCTAGCACTTTTAGGTAGCACAGGTCTCAATCCTCCATTGGTAACCCGATATAACAATCCCTCTTTAAGCTTAAAGTTTTTGGCTAATCCATCTTTTTTACTTCTGTTAGCTTCAATTTCTGTTTTTAAATTTTTAATAAAATTTTGAATATCCTCATCACCATCTTGTATGGCATTAATGAAATTTTCTTCCTGAATGTGACAGACTGGTACCGGATTTCGACTCAAGGCGTCAACATGTGACATCGATGTCCCTGGTCTATGTTCCACATCGAAGTCGAATTCCTGTAAATCAAGCCACCATCTGGCAATTCGTGGCGACAGATCTCTTTTTGACCATGCAAGTCTCAGAGCGGAACAATCCGTCACGACGCTGAATTTTATTCCCGCAACATATACCTTGAATTTCATAATACTGAAGACAACAGCTAAAGCCTCAAGTTCGAAACTGTGATAATTAATCTCACTCACAGAGGTTTGCCTACTAGCATAAGCGACAACTTTCCACTCTCTATGTTCGTGACATTGAAGAAGTACACCACCCAGACCTACCTTTGAAGCGTCCGTGTGAATTTGTGTTTCACGTTCTGGGCTGTAGATAACAAGAACGGGATCAGATGTCAATAAGTCCTTCAAACATCCCATCGCACTGTCCTGCTCTGAACCCCACTTCCAAACAGTTTCCTTTTTCGTTAAAGCTGTCAAGGGTTTTGCTATAGTGGCAAAACCCTTTATAAACTTGCGAAAGTAGCTGGCAAGTCCTAAGAACTGCCTTAGTTCATGTACATTCTGAGGTACTTTAAAGTTTGCAACTGCACTTACTTTGTGGGGAGCTGGTCGAATTTCCCCGCCAGAAATTAAGTTCCCCAAGTATTCAACAGTCTCTGTTAGAAAGGAACACTTATTCTTCTTCACTTTAATTCCGGCTGCCTCAATTAATTCAAGAACTTTTCTGAGATTAGCAAGACACTCTTCAGCATTACTTCCCCATACGATAACGTCATCAATGTAAACTTCAGCACATTTGTGGACGACAGGCGCCAACATCTCGTTCATAGCTCTCTGAAAGACGGCTGGAGCGTTGCAGAGTCCAAAGCTCATCATGCGATATTGATAGTGACCATCAGGCGTGACAAATCCCGTAAATTCTCTAGACGACGATGCTATCCTAATTTGGTGATACCCATTTGCCATATCTAAGCAACAAAATACTGATTTGCCTGCTAGTCTATCTAATAAGTCTTGAATAACCGGCATAGGATACCTTTCTTTGACTGTGATTTTGTTTAATGCCCTGTAGTCTACGCACATACGATAGCCACCATCCTTTTTTTTCACTAGGAGTACAGGACTTGCAAACGATGATGTCGAAGTCTCGACTATACCAGCTTCAATTAAATCATGAACAATTTGTCTAACAATCTCTCGCTCATGAAAAGATATTCTATATGGCTTATAATTTATAACTTTGTCTTCGGTCAATTTAATAGTCATTTCAATTTTACAATTACCAAGCTCCATGCCTTCACCTGAAAAGCAACCCCGGTATTCATTAAGAAGAGATTTAAGCATGCTTTGTTGATCATTTGTTAATTGTTCTCCTATTCGAGGTTCTTTAACTGTTTCATGATTCAGTAGATCGGCACGAGCTATACAATCTTTAGTGTTCATATGGACTGTTTCATTAGTTCTATTGATCAGTCTTATCACCGCTATGCCATTCGCACTTTCAACTTCGTTGCCCAAAATTTTTTTTTCGCACCTGGGTTTCCTTTGTTCACTTTCTCTGACACTTAAAATCCCACTGGACATAGGATCAGTTCTTACTACAACTTTGTTCATACCAGGCTCCAAACTTACATCTTCATTGGGGTATAACCGAATTTTCTGTGAATCTTCAAAGAGCTCTGCGATATCTAGTACCATATCTTTATTGAAAACATTTAGTTGCTTAGAAGTTTTAATCACAATTATATCCGATGCCTCCGTGTATGGTTGTCCTACTAAAATATCGAAATCCTGCACCTCATCACATACAACATAGAAATCGGTTTGTCTCTTAACACCATCCACAGTTAAAAATGCTGTAGCAGCACCTTTTGGTAAAATCACAGCGTTACCATAGCCTTTGATGACAGTAGTATCATTGACTGTTATATCTAGCATCAGTTTATCACAAAAGCTCTGTCTCATTATATTGCATGAGCTTCCAAAATCTATAAACCCACTCGCTGGATGCTCATTAATAAACACAGTTTTAAAATATTTTTTATCAGAAGATTCAGAAGCGACTGCTTGAACTTTCCTTACAACCTTATCTTGTGGCTCTCCAGTACGTCTCCTACACTCATCTATTAAATGCCCTTTAATTCTACAAAAAGAACAATATTTATGCTGATTTCTTTTTAAATAACATATTGCTTCTGTATGGCCAGCTCGATTACAAAACGAACATCTCTTTTGAATGACTCTCTGCTCTCTATAGCCATTACATACAATTGCTTTATGACCGATTGTGTCGCATTTAAAACACCTAAAGGACTTGTTTCGCTTTGTTCTGTCGGTCTCACTTCTCTTATCATTAACATCATTTTCACTTTTATCATTTGAATTCATAAAATTTGCTAGATATTTAAGTAATGATGTTGTGTCATGACATCCTGCTGACAAAGCTCCAACTTCTAGGAACTTATCTCCAAGGGTACCTATGATAGCTTGCGTGATCACATCATCACTTAGTTGACATGACATGCCAATACCAAGTTTACTGTAGTAAAATTCAATAGCATTTTCTGAAGGTAGCTTAATTCTATTAACAAGCTCTCGAATTTGAGAAAGTTTATTTTTGGTGAATGGAAAAGCATTAATTAACTTTTCCTTCCATTCACTCCAACAGATTTCATAATTTGGCTGCCTTTCATACCAATTCTTAGCATATCCCTGTAATTTCGTCATGCAATTACAAATCAACGTAGGTTCATCCCAACCATACATTTTGGCGATGGCTTCTAAATTCCTAATCCAGTGTTCTATAGAAATCGTAGTTGTTTGAGGGTTGAATTCAGAGATGCAGTCGTTTCGCCCTAAATAACGAATAGCTGGCTGAGCCACCCTTGTAGTCTCTATAAAGTTTTCTTTATTCTGAGTTTCTCTTCTCCGCATATCTCGCACTAGTTCCTCTAAAGCTTCAATACGATCATTACTTTTCTTTAATTGTTTTCTATACTTATTTTTCCTATTATTATCTTTTGTAATTCGTGAGCTTGACACAGAACTAGACCTGCTATCATGTCTACGCGATCTCTTATTACGCCCCATATTTGTAAATATATTCCCCCTTTTTTTTTTTTTTTTTATTTCTATAGTATTAAAACTGACAAACAAATTCTAGTCAATATTGTCCTTTTCACTTAATAATCCAAAATAAGAAAATTAGATGTACAACAACTAGTTCACAATAGAAATTAGTTAAATTAGTTCTGGTTATTCATACACACAAAAAAAACAAATACTAATAATAAGTCCATCGTCACTATCATCATAGTTCGTGACTTATTTTATCACTTCTCATTGCACAAACACACACCAGACAATTTTTAGCTCACTAAAGTTAATAGTTCAAATTGGAATAATCTCACCGGTGTCCTAGTCCTAGTACAGTTCCTCTTTTAAATTGAGTGGCAGCTGATGTAAGCTACTGGCACTGTAAGTGTTGTCGAAGTTGCTCGCACTGAGAATGTTGTCGAAGTTGCTCGAGTCCAACATTAGAGTAGAAGAACCACAATACACGATAAAGTTTGATGTCCCACGACAAGCACTAAGAGATCTTCGACTAACACATATTACTATTGTCTTTGCACATAGACATGTAAAACTTTTGACTAAGAAAATATTTATCATGCATAAGTTTTCTCGCGATCGAAGTAGATTAGTTATTGCAACCGAAGTTTCCTTAGTTATTCTTGTTGCCAAACTACGACTGTAAACGCACGCGAGCTTAATAATCCCACTTCTGAGGTATTAAAACACAACTTTGACTGAATGATCATATATTTTATAAAACTGTTTTCTCTAACATAAACTTTTCACAACAACCTTTGTACTCTATTCCCGCCCGAAATTATCTCTTCATTTTTAATGTCAACTTCAAAGGTGACAGTGACAACCCACTGACAGATAGTGCTTCCACTAATACAATCGATAGAGTATCGTAGTCTAACACTAGCTACTCGGACCAAGGTCTCCTTGGCGCATTCTTTCTTTTATCCAATGTCTGTTATACGGATTTACCGGAAGAACTTCTCAATAAATTGGAGCGTCTACAGAATATTTGCATCACATTTCAATCTCCGTAAATTTGACCATGTGTCGCATTTCCGTTCCAAACTCAAATGGCTCCCCATTTCCAAAAGTTTCTTTACTCTATTTTTTACTTTCCCTCTTCTCCACCATATCACATACAATATTTCGTTTATCGCTGTTCTTTTTCTCAGTGTACCTTCTTCTAATCCCACTTCAGGTATTTCTCGTCATTCTACGGACTTTGTCTCGTATTTTTTTTTTTCAGTGCATACCGTGCGATTGTGGTACTCACTTCCAAAGGATGTCAGGAAATCTCGCTCACTAAGTTCTTTTGATGATAGAGTAAAAAGCCATTTCCTTTTCTTATGTTAATTCTATCTTCTTACATATCATTTTTATTTCATTTATTAAGATATATATTATATCCTTCTTATCGTTGCACCCAATACCGCATATAATCTTCGTTCTTTTTTTTATTGTTTGTCCTCCATAGGTTGCCTGGAAGAACTTTCTGCTTAGCTATAAGGCCGCCTTTTGTATACTTTTTGTGACTGTCTGTAACTAATTATTTCTTTTATTGTGTACAATAAAGTATATTATTATTAATATCACGCGACGTAGCCAAAACAAGCCGGGAAGAGGTTAATATATGCGGCCATTGCGCTGAAGCGGATCACACTTTAAAGGACTGCACGATGAAAGCCAATCCACTAAAATGTGCTACTTGCTTTTATTTCAAAAAGCCTTCCAATCACAAGACTTGAATGCCTTGCTAAAAATGACCAAAAATAGATATATTAATTCTATTGATTATGAAGGCGCCTATTGTAAGAATACTAAATTATGTTATATTTAATTGGTACTTTTATTTTATTTATTCTGTATACTATGACTTACAATATTTTGAATAACAGTTTAAAAATAAACATAAGTAATAAAGTGAAGATTTATGCAATTCCGATTTAACCTAGTTTATAATTATGATGACGCTCATTCTTGTCATAATACGATTTCAATAAATCATTATTATTATTAATGCTTCTGTTTTTTCTAATAAAATATATTATGATTTTAGACAAGAATCAATTTTCGGTAATTCAATGCGAGAAGCTACCAGAGAAGACTTACAGAAGATGAACTACTTGGAGAGAGTGATAAAAGAGAGCATGAGACTTTACACGGTGGTACCCATCATCGCACGTAATATAGACAAGGATACATATTTACGTAAGTATGTATCGGAATTTTATTGAGGGAGATAAGAAAACATAGATAATAAATATTTATTGCCTATCATCATCATCAGCCCTTTTTACGTCCCCACTGCAGGGGCTCATCTTTATGGATGGGGGAGAAGGAGTTCCAATTTTATAATATTTCTCAGAAACATATGTTGTCTATACTTATCTTATGTTAGTCTATATTATTATGTTAGACTATAATCTGAGCATAATATTGTAGAGCCATTCAACAGAGTATTAAAAAGAAATATTGTATTTTCGAAAGATTTGGCCAATCGATATTACAAATTCCTGTTCCCCTACCCCACTTCCTAGTGATTTACCTATTTTATTTCTTATTATCACCAAAAAAATACATATATATATCTGTAAGAATTTAAAAAATTGTTTAATATTAAATACTTTTTATCACATAAAGCTTTAGCAGGATAACTATTATAAATTAATCTATCAAGCCACATTTGAGTACAATGGCAATTCTTAGCAAACAATAGCAATTGAAATGTGCCACTTTGCTTGCGAAAAAGTGTAGAAAAAAAAAGTAGCGGAAAAGTCATGAAGGCTTGACAGTAATAATTTAAACCATGAATAATATAAATCATACTTAAAATAAAAAGATAAATCATACTTGTTTATATATGGCATAATTTATCATTGGCACGTTCTTGCGTCTTTTTGTGACGAATTGTAGCAATAGTATCAACTGTGGTTTGTGGTAGTGGTCAGAGAGTAGGTTGTTGATTACATCATCAGACACAACATATGTGAAACTAGCGTATTGTATCAAATCTCTTCGGCTAACTAATGTTCTTTTGCAGGGTGGTAATAAGGATTAACAATATTAATAACATGCCTTGCGTTAATATATGAGAAGATTAGTGTAATAAAAAATAAAGTATAATATTTTGATTAATTTTGTATTCACAATGCCATACTGAAAATTATTCTTGATACAAAATGCTTAAAAAATCCAATTGGTCCCTGGCACCCTGACATCTGAGATGGGAATCGAACCCACGACCTTTCGCAATCCGGGCAACTGCTCTAACCACTGAGCTACCCAGGACCTAACAGGACTGACGAATCTCTCAAGCACTTGCCAGGGACCAAGTTGATTTTTGAAGCATTAATGTATTAAGAATAAAAATAAAGTATGTTCATAATAATTAATTTATTATATTTATTTATAGAGAATATTAAAAATCCTCTTTAAGAACATTCGAGGCAAAGTATGAGTTATTTTATAACTATATTATATAAGATTTAAAAAATACCCATTGGATTTGCCATTCCATTCGTAATTAATACAATACTATACACTAAATTACCATTAATTATTATTTTTTTCTTCATTTACTATCTTCCTATCAAAAGTTATTATGGAATACATCAAGGAGAGTTGATGTCACAATATTAGTCCGTGCCTAATAAACATACATATTAAATGATCTAAAATTACTTTTACGAACTAACATTCTGAATTGAACAACGCAACATAGGAACAAACATACATAAACTGATAAACACATTACTCAATCGGGTGAAAATACAGCGTATAAAAACAATCCTTGAAATTATTTCAATACTAATATAATTAATGCTTACCACCCTCTATCTGAAAACAGCTGGATGCGGAGTGACAATACCAGCAGGCGCTGGTGCAGTAGTCGGAGCCTTCGCCATCCACAGATCTGAAGCTGTATGGGGATCTAATGCGAAAGAGTTCGATCCTGACAGGTTCCTACCAGAGCGGTCCGTCAACCGGCATCCGGCTGCTTTCATGCCCTTTAGCTATGGCTCCAGAAACTGTATTGGTATGTTCATCTCCAGACTTATCATTTTTGTGCCATTAGGGAAAAAAGGTATTGCATGTCGGCCTGATGCTTACGGCAGCGATATGTGTAACTAACCGCACAGACCTGTCCGAAGGATATTCAAAACGCGGTTGACAAACTCACTTAGCCATCTCCAAGGCTAACCCCGGTTTTTCAGACCTACTTACTAACTCACTAGTATTGATCTTTTTTTTTTACTTTTAAACGAATATTTAATACTATACCAGTTCATTGATTCAAGAATTTGTAACATACTTTGTGTTTATATTTTATTTATTTTTTCTGTATAGTACCAACCGGAAATGAATTCCAGGATCTTGTTTGCTGATTTACTCAGAACTACATATCATAGAGCTTTTATCATAGCATAGAGAGTCCCTGAAAATAATAATTTTAGTACCCATTTCATGACTTTGGATTTACCATTTACTGTGGTAATGGCTTTACAGTTATTGAAAGGATTGATTAATCTTAGTTAAGGAAGATTAAGGTTCAATAGATTAAGTTAATAACCGATTTGTTTTACAGGTCGCAACTTTGGCATGCTAATAATGAAAAGCATCATCTCATCAGTGGTGAGAAGTTACAAGATACACGCCCATCAGATAGACAGACTGAAGATAGAAATGCTATTATTCCCAATAAATGGCCATTTAATAAAAGTTCAGAAAAGATGATCTTGAAAATGATTAATAAATTCTCAACATTATTAGAAGCAAAAAAAAATATAAACTCATTGATAACACATAACATATTATCTTTCATTAAACTTTATGAGCGTAGAAATTAGTTTTTTATTGAGATTGTCGCATGGCAGGTTTATTTTGCTTAGTATTATGATATAAGTGAGAATGTTTCATCACTCGAGACTCTCTCGTGATGGACAGACGGATTAATAAAAATCTCAACAATTGATGCTGATCCTTATATTTTATTATATGAGAATAGTAAATAAACAGCTTATACGTGTAGTATAGTTTATACGTACAAAGTTTCGTGTTTTTGTCAGTTCAGGGGTACTTTTAAGGAGGTTTTATTCTATAGGAGAGGTAAATAATATGGTCGTGCGTGTCAGGAACAGCCCGGAGCTAGGAACTGACCAGGATGTGCGACGTTATCGGGAGAGGACACAAGGATGTGATCGATCCACGTGTCATTTGTATCAATATTATGGTGTATAGCATCAATCTTAAGAAGGGAGAGATCATACGACTCGATGGTTAATCGAATAAACAAGAGGCAAGGCTATCGTATAAAAATTACCTATGATTATGTGATGCTTGTTAAACACGAATATGGGAGAAGATATATAACCGACAGCAGGTGGGCTCTATATGACTCGGAGAACAGCTTTACAACCGGATAACGAAACCGTCCTCAGCTGCTGCTGGAGCACAACTTGCCGATATCGTCGCTGTGCATAAAAATGCCGGATTCAAAATGAGGTCTTGGGTATCAAACGACCCAAGAGCTCTCTCTCTTTTACCTGATTTTATTCGGATAACGAAACCGGAAAGAATAAGATTTGATGTTGTTCGTAAGCTGATCAGAAACAATAATTTGGTATTGAATGTCAGTTCGTAGATAGATGTCCACACTGCCACCGCATTAGCAGTGAAACTATTAAAGCTCTTTAAGATGACTCAGTATTGTTTGAGCGGTGATGTGACAATCATTGAAACTTCTGGTTCCGATAGCCCGGTAGAAAGCTTAACGCCCAACATCTCAGTGTCAACCTTCTGATTATCCAGCAAATGATACGATGAATCAGAACTGACACATGACTGAAAATCTATTTCCTCTGAATCCGAAATAAACTAATAATATAATCTTTATTGCACACGATACAGACTGGAAATAACACGAAATTATTCGGTATAACAATGCAAAGTACACTAAAGGCAGCCTTATTACTAAACAACAATATCTTTCAGACAACCAGCTGCGGAGGATAATAATAAAAAGAAAGGGAAAATATGGGGTATTTGGTGCAAAGGTCAGAAGGGTATGATAAGATATGTCTTTAGAGATTATATAAGAAAAAATATAAGTAGGTATTATTAACATAGAGAAAGGAAATACCTTCCTACTCGATCGCCAAAAGAACTTAATGAGCGAGTGTTCCTGACATACTCCGAGAGATAATTCCATAAACGCACAGCATGCACAAAAAAGGAATAGTAGAAGAAATCGGAAGTACCTAAAATTAGGTTGGATGAGGATCCAACCTCACTAAAAAATATTGGCTATGTGTCCGACTTCAGCGACACATATCATCCTCAACTTTGGCAACTTTGATGTTTTGTATATAATAACATGTTTTAATTTCAAAACGTGTTATTATATACAAAACATTAAAAAGAAAAGTTTTCTATTAATTTTTAGTACATAACTACTGCCATACTGTTATTTGGGTGCACAGAAGGTTGTGAAATTATTTTTAATCATTAAAATTAAATGAGGTAACTAAATTGTATTTAAAAAAATGTGTTTTATTTTGGTTATTTCAGAATTTGTGTAACTCATTTTTAGTTGCAATTTTACTATAAAACAAGAAATAAAAACGTCTCTGATGATTTTGTTATATACCTAATACTAAACATAAAAATTTTTCCTGTATCATTAGTAATAAATGAAATATGGTCTTTAGATCGAAATGAGTATTATTCTGAGGACCAGATTTGTATATATAACTCACACAGAAAATAAAATAAAAACTATGATACCTTGCAATGCCTATGTTTATTAAAGTAGGTAATTAGTCTCCGTTGGAACTCATAATCACGACTGAGTTTTTTTTATATTAATTCGATTGCAGCTGAATACAGCACGACTAAAGTATTTACATGATAAAATGAAACATAAAAAATATTTTACTCATTTTTTTTAGAAAATACTTGTGCAAATAATGATAATAATAACAAAAGTAATCAATTAGAATGTTATTTTACTTTAAAATAGGTATATGTAATCTGATGTTTGTTTGATAAAAAAAAATATCATTAAGAAAATTGACAAATATATTTCAGCATAGTTTGTTTACATTTTTTATCGATTCCTATACAAATTATCATTTAGATTTAACCTAAAAAAAAGCATTTAATTTAGTTTTTCTTTTTATAATAAATTATAAATGATTAATTCTTGGAAAAAAATACAAATAGTATGGAATGACGAATGACTTAAAATTAAATTCGACGAATTAAAAATATATCTATAAATGAAATTAAATTCAATTATAAATTATCTGTCGTATCATATATTGTATCTTTCCAAGCTTTCCATTTAATCTGTTCTTGTGTTAACCAAAAAATTATGTAGTTAATTTCTTAACATCGATGTGTCGATGATTTTGAAATCTTAATATCTACGTTTACCTGCTAAGCATCAATGTTTTACTGTAAATTATTGGCCTAATATTGATCATTGAGGACTTTGTCTGATCAATATTAGGTTGTTTTGATCAATATTGTGCCTGAGAATCCTTGCAATATACACAAATAACTTCTCGGATATACACGTGATATGTATACACCAAGGTAATTGGTATACACATACACCAATAAAGGTATTCACAATTTTTTTTAAAGTTTCAACTCTTTACTCGATTCCAGTATCGTATTAAAAGCATCGATACTAAGAAGTATGAATGGCAGAAAGTAACGATTACTTTCTAGATGTGTATATATAGATAATAAAATAGACTGCCGTTTCTGCTATTCAGTTCTGAAATAAATTGATGAGTTTTTAGCTAAAAATACCTGAAAAACAAATTAAGTTTTGGTTAATTTCACTAGCGCTGTACGATGCACTTGCACATCAAAGGTAGAGTTCGTCTCACGAAAGAAGTCACGTAGACGTGGCACTGCAGTCTTATTTTTCAAATATATAACTCATTTTTTATATCATGTTAATAGACTTAAAGCGTTCTTAAATAAATCGTCTTTTAGAATTAACCTGGAAGTAGGTTTCTTTGGTATGCGGTAATGTAAAGAATAAGAGCGAGAGATCAAAGAATTCTTTTCAAATAGGTATATGCAGAACTGTCTATACATTTTTACATCTATTATTGTTTTCCAATTTTTACTCATTGCAGTGTGGCATTCCATACTAAAGTCTACTATCAGGACGCCTACCATCAACCCGGTACTTGGGTAGAAAAATAAGTTAAAAAGTATTCGTTTATTAATTTCTGATTACATAGTTTATTGTTTCTTTTTTTACATACTTTATTATTAAATACTTTTTGGGTTATTTTTTTCTATATACCACTTTGTTAGTTACTTGTTTTGCATGATATCGGTATCTTCAAGCGATTAGTAATGCTTCATATTCGACTGCAAATATGAAATGCTATTGAGTTGTAAAATTTTGAATATGTGTACTTATTGTAACACTCAGAATAGAAGCATTTAGGAAGAGAAGGATACTGCGCAATGATGTAACCTTGTAATATTCAGAATTTAGTTAAATGCTGTACCAGCGAAATGCATTGATCGGACATGGCATATTTTATGGCGACGATTTCTTTCATCTTGTCCATTGGCAACAATCCATTTATTCTTTTATGTACCTTGTTAACAGGAAATTTGTCGAGTCAAATACACTTTACAAATAATTTTGCACAAGCAAATTAGGAGGGATATAGAATTTATTAAGATAAGTTTGTTAACAATAAAAACACTAACAGCCAGTTGCACAAACTTCTATTAAAATTGACATAAGTTTAAAGCGACATTACCCATACAAATTTGACAATTATTAGAGCATAAAGACGTCATTAAACCTTAATGAAAGTTCGTGCAACTGACCGTAAATGTTTAGATAACTTTAAATAATGTGTGATTGTCAGAAAAGTAGCAATTGTTAGTTAGGCAATAGTACATGGTTTTGTTTGTAGATTGCATTAATCTCTTTTCTTTTATTGCTTTCCAAATAAAAGTATTTTAACAAAACTATGTTAAAACGTATCGACATTGATATGAAGCATCACATCACGCTGTGTCAAGCACATCTCCTGCATCTCAAAAAACAGCTTTTGAGTAAATCGACTTGGAAGTTTTTTAAGGTTTTGGTCTTTAAGGCTATTTTAGACAGTTTCTTTTTTAATTTTTTATATTTTTTCCATGTTTTCTATGAAAGGGCAAAAAAGTTTTTTTTTAAGTATTTTAGCAGTTAGAGGAATTAAATTAGTTAGGCGTTACAAAAGCTGTAGTGGCATCCTGTCTATTCCCCAAAAAACCTTAGTTTAGATAGGATTTAAGTTAGTTATACTTAAAAAAAATACTTAATCGCTAATAATCGAAATTTTGTACCATCTTAAGGACGCTAGGTTTGTTTCTAGCTAAGCTTATTGCTAAGGTTTTCTGGGAAATATGCCTTAAAGCCTAAAACAAATATACCCTTGAATTTGACAAAAAAAGAATTTTGTTACTTATCAATGTGACATAGATTTAAGTCAGTTGTGTAAATCGTTTTAGCTTCCAACATTTGGTGATGTCTTTATTGTTTGATGGCAAACTTTTTTTTTGCAATGTCTTTTTTATCTGTAATTTATGACCCAATTTTCCCTATGACTTAGTGTCATTTTATTCTATCATAATCTATTTACGCTTTTTGAAAGTACTGTCCGCATCGCTATTTTATCTCGCGCGAATCTATTTTTGCAATTCTGAAATACGTTGAATCTTATAAGAATATCCGCACTTGCGGAAAAAATCGCATTTACTAAACTACAGATTTTCGCAATTACTCAGTCGTGCATCAGCACTAGCGGTGGAAGGATGTTACGCGGTTCGTCTCTCGTCTACTCGGCGGCGAAAATCACGATATTTATATTAAAAAAATTATAATTCAAAATAGGCCTAAATTTCAGAAAAAATATACATTGAATGGAATCAAATAAATTAACAAATTAAAATAGTTCATTTTTAGGATTGTGTACCTAAAATATTAAACGGGAACCCTATTACTAAGGTTTCGCTGTCTGTCTGTAACTAGGCTGTATCATAAGAACCATGAAAATTTCAACTGTTTCAACGAAAAATTATACTGTCTACGGTTGAAATTTTCCCAAATACTAAACTCCAGAATAAAATAAATATTTAAGGGGGCTTCCATGAAACAAACGTAACTTTTTTGCTCGTTTCTGGTACGAAACCTTATGTGTGCGGGTCCGACTTGCACTTGTCTGGTTTTTTAAACGTTCGTCTCGACCGGAAGCTACATAAAACTGACAAAAATCACGCGGAAGTTTAATAGCAATGCGAACAAGGTGTTATAAAATCCGCGCGAATGATATTCTCGCGAATAAAAATCGCAATGCAGACAGTCCCTTATTTTTGCCAATGACTTACTAGTTGTAGTTTATATCCATCATCTATTTACACGTTTATACCTCCTAAATTTATTTCGTTTTTATATTATTGGCTAAAAGCTTAGCGTAACAGAGCCCTGCTGCATTTTTAGTCAAACGAGTTATGCGTTATAATAACACCTGATGTATTATAAACTAGAGTTATTTATAGCAACTTTTAGTTGCATGAGCTTACCGTTATACAGAATTATGGGAAAAAGGGGAATTATACGCAAAAGTGCAATTTACACTTTTGCGTAATGTAGTTTTAATACATATTATTATATTTTTATATCTAATCTTTTAGATTAGTTCTTATTCTTTTTTCTTGTTTTCTGAAGAAGACTGATTGGACTTGTTATTGGTTTCTTTTCACTTATGTTTAATCTGTTATATCAAACACGCAGAAGAAAGTGTATCAAAGACTTTCTTCTTTTTCCCCTTGTTTGATTTTGTCGTTGATTCTTCGTTTTCTTTTTTCTTCTCATTTTTACTTACATACATTATCTTTGCTACCAGATTTCTATTCGTTTTTGCTATGTTGTGATGTTGAACTATCTTCTAAACTGTCTCTTGTTATTTTAAATAGATATATACTTTATAACACAGTAAGACATTAACATAAAAACATATAATTAGGAACATAGATGCACAACGCACCCGTTTTGCTACGGTAGTAATCTCTACCAACCTACCTTTGGCTAAAAAACTATACTGATTGAGTAAAGAAACTGCGGGCTAGTGCCTTATACAATGAAGAACGTTTATAAATGTAAATACATACCTATACTACAACCATATTTTAACCTTGGCTTACAGATAATATAAAACCTTTATCGGTGAGAAAGAATTCTTCAAAAATAAATATAATGTAAGCCTACTCCCTCAAATTGGGAGAAATACGTAAAAATTCGTAATCAACGTAATAAGGTGTGTAGGAATGCACAACGTCAATTCCTATCCAAAAATCACCTTTTGATTCCTTATCAGCAGCGGCGGACTAATGGGGGGGGGGGATCCACCCCGGGCCTCTTATCCTGGGGGGCCTCCAAATGGCTGAAAGTTCCCTCGATCAAATCATAAATTGTACTGCCTTATCTTTCTTAGTTTCATAGTTTTAGCAGGCGTCTTAGCAGGGGAAGCGGTATAAACACAAAATCACCAAGTTTCCGCCCCGGGCCCCCGACAGGGTTAGTCCGCCACTGCTTATCAGTCCGGCTTTCGAGCTGGTAACAGCACGACCACGACGCTAGTGAATGTAACTGATGATGTTAGGTTTGGTATGGAGCATGGAATAATTATGATTCTTTCACTACTTGATTTTAGCAATGCGTTTGATAATTTTGATATTTTACTTGGCTTTTATTACTGGTTTCAAAGTTACCTGTCTGGAAGCCGGCAGCGAATTCACATCAAATCCACTTTTGATCACAGGTAATGATTCGATTTAAAAAACCCTTGATTATTGTGCTGGTTAAGTAATGTAACTCAGCAATCGAAGCGCGTTTGCTCAATTTGTGAAGTACCTTTCAAGCTTTTCAATCTTTCCAATTTGCTTCAAGTGTTTGCTTCAAAACAGTTTTATCATTAACACCGCAGCCTGCAGCTAACTCGGATGTGGTTTGCGATAGATCCGCTCCCACAATAGCCTTCAATTCTTCATTATTAACTTGGGTCTCCGGCCGTCCACGGGGCTTGTTCTGCAGGTCGAAATTTCCAAAACGAAAACGTTGGACGCACTGTGTTTTCTTTTGCGACACAACCGCCATACACATCATTAACCCTTCCAGCCGTTTCCGCATCACTGGAACCACGATGGAACTCGTACTCGTAAATAACACGATATTTCAAGTTTTCCATTTTTTATACTGGGTGACGTAAACAGAACAAATAGGAGAAAAAAAAACAAATGAATGCCGCCTAACGGAACACAAATGCATACAAATACAGTAAATGACTGTATAAATAAAATTTGAATTTGGAATTCCCAACCAAGGAGGAAAAATTTGTGACCAAAGTGGCCAGTACGACAAAAATAAGGACCTAATATTAAGAACAATTTTGTTCTACTCCAAGTACATTATATAGTTCAATGCTCGAATCTAAACTTTTTGTAGTTGACCGCATGCCCGCATGTGATGGATGCAAGATTCAATAAAATTATCGAGTTCGATTTAATCGATTACAGTTGATATCTACAGTTATATTGCTCTACACCCAAAGTAAGAAGGCGTTCATAAGGCATGCTCGTAGTTATAATGGGAAAATACCACTTTAAATAGATTGCGATCGAATTGAGAATAACAAATTATTATAAATAAAATGAAAATTATTATAAACAAAATAATGTCATAGATGTTACTTAAATCACCTGTGATGATGTAAAGACTCCTTATTATTTTAAAATTTGGATAACTGGTATACATTTATTCTTTGGATATCATTCTATATAAGGTTTCAAGATGTTGGTATTTTCCGTATTTTCGAAATCATTATATCGATATCTCTGATTCTTTGATATCAATATAAATCGATATGTTAACCGATTAATCATTGATCTCTAAACGGATGTCGACCGTTAGGGTGTCAGTTTTAGTTTCCTAAAGCAAAAGAAACAATCGTGTGAATCGACTAAAAAGCACCTAACTAGATGGCGAATTTAATTAACATATTAAAAAACTGAAAGAACAATGGCCATCTGCCTAACATGCTTGGACTAGTAAAATCAAATAAAACGTAACTTGATGAAACATATGTTATTTTGTTTACCTATGCAACTAGAATAAAGAAAGACATTAAATATATTTTTAAAAGCTGGGAGTATCGAGTAATTGTGTAATATGTTTTTGAGGTTATGTCGTATTATTTAAACTGTAGCATTTTGAGTTAGAGGTATTACAGTTGAAATATGTAAAGCACACGTCAGATAAAGCCTAATCGTAGTCCTAGAAGTGCATACTTTCACATAATACTTCAAACTGGCTCCATATCTGATAAATTATTTTTATTGACTGTAAGAAATAAAATCATTTTTTGTCAACCAATGAACATAAAAAAATACTAGAATTTTTAAGATTGCTCTCAATAACTCTACTTTTCTATCTTACACTATAACTTATATAAAGTAGTAGTGAAAATACTAATTTCAAAAGGATATAGCAAAACAACATGTTGATTTTTTCTTTTCTTTATTCCAATTCTAATGAATACCTCATCACGGAATGCTGCAGGAGCAGCTACATTTTGTTCGTGTCTGGCCCATCCAAGATACCAAACTATGATCATCATATGAGCACAGCATCCCAGTGTACATCGACCAATAAGACAATTACAGCAGTGTTCTCTTATGCCATCTAACCCGGATGTGTCATTATTCTTTAAAATTACACATAATATTGTTTCCTTCCAAAGTCTCGACTTAATGCTACTCCTTATTATTAGAACTTTATTTAAGTCTAATTCTAATAAATCCAGAAAATTCGGTATTTCTCTTTAGACCTCAATTCTATACTGCCTAGTATCTAATCTAATCTAATCTAAGTTTTATAATTTTCACGGCTTTATATGGTTAGTAAATAATATAAGATTTGTAACAAATTCAATTAATCAGAAATAAAATCGATGTTGTTCTTTGAAAAAGAGGGACTTCTCTAGTAATGACATTATTAATAAGATGCGTTCAAAAATAACATAATTTAAACTGCGTTCTAAAAAATAAAGACATATTTTAGAGAGGATTATCTTTCTTTTCCCAGCTTTTAAAAATAAATTGTTGGTATATAATAATTACATTCAACTTATACTACATTTTGGTGATAGTTCCATCTTGGTACAAGAACTTTTTTTTCGTAGTCCATTTTGACCATTGTTCTTTGCAAAGTGCGAACCTTAGATATCAATACTAATACGAAAAAGTACAATAGAATATGAGTTGTTTATTGAGTGTTGAAAATTATTTTACTTTTATACATGAAAGAAAACCGGAAGGGTTTCATGGAAAAATCAAGAAAGTACTCTAGCGACATCTTGTTAGATTTTGGGAACTATTACTTTCTTATTGTACGCGATTGCGTTCGAGAGTGAGGGGCTGTTCGTTTTGACGTTAAGATCGAATTAAGTGACAAAGTTCGAGTCAAAATATCGAAAATCGAAATCGTGTTCAAAATGAGAAGCGAGATGGGAATCCCTAGTCAGTTTGGTTGGATGGATTGGATCGATTGAGCTAGTGTCAAATTTTAATGGGCTCCAGTGGTAGCAAAATTATAAGTTCAACGAAAACGATGGATCCGAAGGTTCACAAATTCATCAAATCTGCTATAACTAAAGATAAAGTTGTGATTTTTTCAAAAACATATTGTCCGTACTGCAAAATGGCTAAGGAGGTAAATTTATTTTTAATTATTATCAGAAATCAGTTATTTTTCGTTCCGTGTTTTTTTGAGTCATAGATATTAGTCATTCAAGTTTACTGAATTATTGTAATCATATTTATTTGTTTCAGGTATTCAGTAAAGTTAATCAGCCCTTCGAAGTAGTTGAGTTGGATCAGCAGGCTCAAGGTGACGCTATCCAAGACAATTTAGCGCTAATGACTGGATTCAGAACTGTGAGTAATCAAAATTTGCAACTTAATCCTTTATTGAGTAACAATCCAGTAGTATTAGAATTTTCAAAACAGAATCAGAACCGTGAGTAATAATATAGCTAAAGATAAGCTTACCGAGAGTTTTTATATTCTATATCATTTGGCATAGTGCAAATCTGTAGTTACACATATTATTTTTTACAGTGGCAAACTAAATAGGTAACTCAAATATAAACGATAGATATATTTTTTATAAATATAACATCAAAATTATAACTAATAGTAGTTTATTGTGTAAAATATGAATATTATGATGAAATTATCTACATATATTTTTTTGTGGTTTTTTATATTTCCTCTTTCAATAAATACCTTGTGGTTTACATAATAATTAGGCTTATGATGAATATTCTGTTAATGTTCAGCATACTCTGCTGTTTTTTTTTTATATTGATAATTCGTAAAATAAAATAAAAAAAGATTAATTTTATAATAATATTTTTTTTTTATATTTCTTATTATCGTGAAGGTCATTAGAACAGATTATACACAATCTTCATCTGTGTTTCAAAATATAATGATTTTTTATGCATTTCAATTGTTGCTGTAATCAAAGTTTAGAAGGGGAAGGTTATGGTTTTTTGCTTCTGTTTAACGTCACTTAGTACCTTGAATTTGTATGCAGTGTTTACACCGACTAGCAACAGTTCCACAAACACAGCACCATATCACCAAAACTATTAATTGCAGACATACTGTTACTTCTATATTATATCCCAGATATTAATGGACTATTTATTTATAAAATTAAAAAAGTTGTCAACTAGCCTATTAATTTTTTAATAATTAAGTTTTAATTTTCTATAATTATGTTTTCAGGTGCCTCAAGTTTTCATAAATGGAACCTGTGTCGGAGGAGGTTCTGATGTGAAAGCTTTATATGAAGCTGGAACACTGGAGTCCATGTTAATTGGTTAAATTATGACTGTTACAAACGAATATAAATTAATACAATGTTACTTTATACATATGAGCTTCTTAAATTTATATATGAATTGGTTATAAAATAAAAAAAATATATTTGCAATATATAATGCTATGTTGATATGTAGCATAAAAATATATATTTTTGTAAAGTATATTTCCATGATTCAAAAATCTATTACATTTTGTTGGTTTATGTTTCAAATTTATTTGTGATACTAAGACTCCCTATCACATTAAGGCTTTAATTTATCTTGACTACAATAAATGTATTGATAGTGTAAGGTAGTAGGATGGTACTCAAAATAGTTATTGGTGTGTAGCCAATGTATAACCCATTTATTAAGTGATATTTCAATATAAAAACAATGTTGAAAATGCCTATAACAATTTTTGCAATATAAACAGACATTCTGCTGGTTGGTATCTTGAACATATGTATTGATTAAGGTAGGTACTGAATTGTACTTAAAATAGTTATCAGTGTGTACCCCATATCCATAAATATGTGAGGACTTTCAGCAATACCTTTATTTGCAAAACCAGCTAATGCCTGCATTACATGATATTTCGAACAATAATTACTTATGTTTCCACTGCTTGGTGCCATTGCACAAAATTATTTCATGGTACATAGATATGAAGTATAAGTATTGAGTATATTATAATATTAGTTATTTATGTTTCCAAATAGCAAACTTATTATATATGTTACATTCATAATAATAATAGAAAATATTTTTAACAAAAAAGAATAATAATACTATTTTTGATATATATACATAAATTCTATTATTTATGTAGTTATATTCGTAAGATTCACAGTCACAATTTAACTTTCCTCTTTTATCAAATTAAAAGGCAAATCATGAAAAAGCTTTATGTACTTATGTTTGTTATAAAATTAATAAATGTAATAAATTTATGGTTTTCATTTTAATTAATACTGTTTCAAAGGATTGTTATCTTTTAAGGAATGTAATCATATTTATAAATTATTAATCCATTATAGCGTGAAAGTAATAATTGTTGAAAGAATTTATTTATTTATTTAGCTATCAAAACAAGATACAGTAACAAAAATAAAAGTACTGTAACTAAGAAATAAACCATACCGTAACTCTTAAACAAGTGAGCATAGTATGTACCAAATATAAATGTAACATCCAAACGTAGCCACAGAACATTTTACAAAAATACAGCTAATAAAGAAAACAACATGCTTCTAAGAGCGCAGGATGCCTTGTCTTTTAAAAATGCATAAGTAGTTTACCTTTAAAAATATCGAGTGAAGATGCTCGAATACTAGATCATTAAACAGGCACATATTTGTAATGTGATCAGCCCCGTCTTGAGCACAACAGGCGCCCGGGTGCTCCGACTCGTAATTTTTGTATTAACTTTCTTTTAAACGTTAAAAGTTATTGGTAGGTACTTATTGATAAGTACGTATAGTAAGTCGGTAAGTGCACGCGTTAAGAGCATCAAGTACATCATCTTAAAGCTGGCACTGCAAACTATAAGAATGATTGTTACACAATACGCACTACGCATTACTCATTTATTAATATTCAATTTATTTAAATAAATAGTAAGAAAATATTTACAAGTATACATTGAATATACCTATTTAACCGTCTTAGTGCCATACATACCTGTGCAGTCGTTATTGGACTTGTAATTAAAATGCTGGTTTGTTATAATGAAGAGATTTATTATTGTCAACAACAAACAGACGCGTGCGTCTAATAAAGTGTACAGTGAAAGAAAGAGCGCGCGGATACATTTCGCAGCTATTATGGGTTGTTCCGTATTCATCCTATGATCTCTCTCATCCTATGCATTATTTTTTCCTTACTCATCCTATTTTTGTTCTTAACTCAACCCACAACAATTTATTTTAATTTTGAATTCCTTACTCATCCCATCAGTGTTCTTAGCTCATCCCAATTTCAAATCTTATTATATAAAATAAGGTTGTTATATAAAATAAAACAGCAGGAAGTCTAAAAGATATAATGAGAGATACATTTTGTACTCACAATTCTTTATTTAAAGTTTTCTTTAAAATAATGTCTTTAAAAAAACGTAAGTTTTAGTGGAAAACAATATAAATTATATAAAATTGTTAAGAATTCACTTGTCATTAAGGAAAAGGAAAGGGTTTTGTCGCTTCTATAACTGACAAGACAAAATCAACTGCATTTTAAAAGTCATCTACAGAAACCACAGATTAAAGAACTATTAACTAGTTAGGACTAGTAACATCTCGTCGTCTAAGATTTTAATTATAAAATGGTTCAGAATTTTCTTAATATAGAAATAAAAACTATATATTTTGATAGGATTAACAACGCAATTATAAACTATTATTAATTAATAACAAGAAACAATCAACTACAGTTTAAAATCGTTTATACAATCACAGATTAAAGAGGAACCATTAATTCAAATAAGACTAGTACAATATTGATTTGCTAAATAACGAAAAATTAGAAATTTAAAACATAATAAAATACTTTTATTATGTTTTAAATTGACTTGATATAAATAAACAAAGTATCGCTACTGGCTATCAATAGTATCAAATCTGCTCTAAAAATCTATTGAGAAGCGAGTTTTAAACTAATTTAATTTATTTATTAGGAACATGTCTTCTACTCTCTGTCTCCGGATTTCCCCTGAATATCAATTTGCACTGCACCAGTAACCTTATTTATTGAATCTTTTCCATCACTCGGGGAAGATCTGTGCCCCAGTAATTTTTAATATATATTAGATAAGGATTATAGTATACATATTAATTTTCCGTAAAAATATTAAACGTTTTTTTGCTATCCATACTTTTTAGTAATATTTGCTTCAGGATGAGTTAGCGTTAAGGATGAATTAAGAAAAATATTCATAGGTTGAGTTAGTAATACAGAGTTTGGGATGAGTGAAGAAAAAGGATGAGACGTCATAGGATGAACACGGAATAACCCGCTATTATACCTTATGTAATAACTAGTGTTGGGAACATCCCGACAATACCCTTATAAGCAAGGAGTTTATTAATACGGAGTTGTAATATGCACTGATTACACAACCAGTCGTGTAGTGCGTCGAACATTAACTGACGACGAGTCTTTGTAGTGTGTTGTGAACGACGGGCATGGCCGGCAGACTTGTCTGCGGTCATACCTGTCTAGTGAATTCCCCGCTTTAGACGCTTTAATATTAGATGACCTGTACTCTAAAATTCAACTATAGTAGGTGATACCTTTGATAGGCACAGAAAATTTTATGAAATTTCTCAATCGTACACTCTCGACAGAGCGGTTGTGGTTGCTCAGATGGCACATAAGATTATGGTTACGCGTACTGATCATTTGTTTTTTGGCTATCTTGAATATTACCAGAGAAGCAGTTTAGGTGAAGATATCCGCATCCGTTTTTGTCGCTTCACGGTAGTCTGTCTGACTGATTTTACAAGGTGTATGGACACACCAGTTGTAGGCGTTAGGCATTCATCTCTTGTCCTCGACCCAGCCCTTTGCTATCAATCTCTCCATGGTAATTTGAATTACGAAATCGAATAATTTCAGAATTCTCAATAGTACAGTCGACGAGAGTCGCTCCTTCGAACGAAAATCAGTCCAGGGGATTTTTTAGAATAGTCTCCAACTTATTTTTTATCGTAGGGGAATGCTTTATGCACTTTCCACACCGCTTGATAGGCGGAAAGAGGTGTGATGGTACTCTTCATTAGAAGGCTAGTAAAAACGCGGGTGGCATACTCATAACCACTAAACGCCCTCCGTGCACTATTTTGGGGGAAGGCCCCGAGTGTCCCTGTAGTGTTACAGGGAGTGGTCCACATCCCTCTCTTGGCTGATACATTTTGGCGTTCTCCTTTACCTTAGATTTACTTATAAAAGATAATAATATGTCTCCAACACCACATCTTAAAGGCGTCAATTAATGTAATTACTGTTAAGAATACTTATTGACACATACTTAATCGACTATTAATAATGAGAATCTGGCTTCACGCGAGAGGGGTTGCCAGCTAATAATAAACATTCTAGAAAGCAATTGGGCGGCTGGTTAATAAGATCCCGGTGTTACGAAGGTAAATAAATATATCTGATTCATCTGTGCTGATGTTGAAGTGGTATTATGATTACACACTTCATGAAATGTATGTTTTACAACTTCAATATATGTTTCGTATAATGTTTTTATATTATTGGTTTGTGTAGATAATGAAAATACCTACTGACCGAAGTCTGTATGAATGAGTTTTGTACGATTGTTGGTAAAATCCAGATTCATCTGTTCCAAATTGATGTAGGGAACGCAATAAAACAAAAAGTAATTAGTTTCCTCTTTCCAGAACGAAAGGAGCGCTTTACTTATTTATTTATTGTACTACTGATAACATAAATGGTGGTTTAATAAGGTTATTGGTTTTAATTAAGCATTCTCTACCAGTCAACCATGGGCGAGGCATACATATTTAAAGTGGGGTAAAAATTACGGATATTGGATAAACTACTTATACTTCCGTAAAATTCTTTGTTAAAGTTTTAACCGCATCCACGTTTTATAGAAGTGGTTCATAAAGATAAATAATTCATTCAATCTTAATAGACACAAACGTCTATTAAGGTTCAATGACGCCTTTTAGCACTAATGAATATGTAACAAAATTTAATTTACTATCAAGTGTTATGCCTAAGTCACGAATTTCTTTAATTTCATCTAATTTATTATTATTAATACTATAGCTAGAGTTCACAGACAATTTCTTGCGAGTAAATTTTATAAAATAACACTTAGCTGCATTTAGGGACATGTTGTTTCTTGTACACCACATTGATACAGCGTTTAAGTCATTTATTAAACTATAAGCATCTTCGGGGTTTTTTACTTCTTTAAATAATTTTAGATCGCCAGCATAAAGAGAAAATGAACTAAAATGTATAAGATAAGATAAAGATAAGATAAAAACACTTTATTGTACAACACACAACAGAAATAAATAAAGAGTGAAGTTAATGTATATAATTTACTACGTCATTAATAAAACTTAAGAATAGTTTAGGGCCTAAAAGTGAGCCCTGAGGCACTCCTGAGAGGGAATAGTATTTATCAGATGTACATCCATTTACTACAACATTTTGAGTTCTACTTGTAAGATACGTCACAAACCAATTATACAA